TTTGTAATTTGTGTTGGTTAATTTTTAATTGGTAAGCTGTATTTTTCTGTATTCGTGTATTATTTTTAGTGCTTGCAACATAAAAAATTTAATGAAAATCTGAAACGTCAGCCGTGGATCATAGGTATGCGTGAAGTTTTCGTGGTTTCTTTCTGATGGTAGATTAAATATACCTCCAGTTTCTCTCAAAAAATACCCATGAAAACCCAAAGGCAGATAACACTAAGTTCTTCGCCATAATTAAATAATCCAATTCTTGACCAGTTTCTAAAATTTAACTATGAATATTTCTTAATTTTTTCATTTCTAAATGTCTCTAAATCTCATTTTTAAATTTAAATTTATTAATTGTTATTTTTGGTTGCTTTAAGTTATTAGTAAAAAAAATACATGCTGAACATAGTATTTTTTATTTCGAATCTTGTCACGGTATGAAAATGCCCTCACCGGATTAACACAAATAGCTCGAGACAAACTGAAATGTTATTTAACGACTTCTGGTGATATTAGAGCTTCATTGCAGATGTAATAGGAAAAGTTGCTGAATTATGCGGCCTTGAAAACGGTCAGGTTATGATGATTCGGAGGCTAGAAACCAGTAGGGGTATGCAAAGTACACCGCCGCATAGGGCTCTGAAGTCTAAAGGGCCTCTTATGTATTTAGCTGGAACTAGATTTACACGTTTAAATTTAGAAAGAACATAAAAGCGACTGTTACTGATGAGACCTGTTAGTGACAGTCTGCATTAGTGTTTGAGAAACATGCTGATGTCTTAGCTTACTGAGTCACTAGATATTAACCCATGTTGAGACTTCTCTGGTCTTACGGAAAGTTCACATGGAGACTTTTCGGTCATAAATAGCGTAAGATGAACTTCGTTACTAAGCAAAATGACTTTGATCTTGTTATATGTCAAAAAAACTGGCATAGGGACATTATCTAAATGTTCTAACTATTCAGCTTTATGGTTCAGTAATCTGGTATAAGAATTTACTAGTCACAACGAAGGAAACGCATACTGAATTTCGGTCCACGAAATTTCGCCGAGTCAGCTTTATGTTCAGGGATGCACAACTTTACTTTTCTGATTGGTTACGGCTTAAAATCTTGTTCCATAGGTGAACGGAGTTGACAATTTTTACGCTTTAGCATTTACTTCGATAATAATTACGACTAGACTATCCTATGAATGATCCGTTATGCAACGCCAGCTTAGCTCACCAACAAGCTTTCCCAAATATATAAGAATTGTGATTTTTGTTTTCAAATCTGGTAAAATCTCTCTTTAGGCACTTACTTATCATGGTTTTATAAAATCCATGCCACGAGGGACAGCTGTTTTCCTCGCTAAAAGAGGAGCAGCAGGACTGCGCACAATGTTTTGGATATATGCATAAATCCGTGTTTATGTGTATAAAATTTTCTTAATTCATACCGTATTTCCTCGCTTATTTTTCTCTCTTTTTACTAACGTTATTGCTCGAAAATCGAGAGGGAAAATTTATGCGAATAATTCAGTTTCCGAAGGACGCGGTTACAACAAATGGACTGTAGCTTTAGATGAACTACAAGCAATTATAATAATATATTTTCTTTAAAAGAAATCTATATTCCAATGCGAATACATGGTTAATAATAACATTACAATACCTGATAAGATATCTTCATTTCTATTTCATTGTAACTGGAACCTCGCTGGCTCTTATTGTTGTCATGTAGAAACGTTACTGTGAAAAACCGAAATTGGAGAATGTCGATATTCACCGGTGAATGTCAACATATACCAAATACGTCGGTGAAAGACCGAATATTTGGTTATGTTCTTGTATATTTGGACCATCACCGGTGTATGTCGACAATCACAGATATACTGTGGTGGAGGTCGAAAGGAGAATTCGAGTTCAACAGACAATCGACTGTTTGTCGCCAAATCCTTTGCTCTGCTGCAATTGAAGTTACGTAGCATGCATTTGTACTCTGGAACACTGCTTGTCAGTCTTGTTCTAGGTTTGATGGTACGCGCAACGTTTTTTTAAATTTTTTTTATCCAATACACTAATTTATGTTGAACGGATACTGCAGTGAATCGTGAACTTTTCCTTGAAACGTTAAATGCATAATTTGCGAGTGAACGAGAAGACAATTGTTTTTATTTTTCAAACACAGCTTTCAAACACATCTCTCCTCACCGGGATTGATTACTCCTTACGAAACCAAGAAGAGGCATAACATTGTCTTTTTTGCCTGGCGAACAAATCGCAAATATTGAAACCGAAGAACAACTTTTAAGAAATTGCTAATACTTTTGAAACCAAAGAACAGCTTGAAGAAAAAGTTAATACTTTTGAAGAAAATCTAAGCAGTGGCCATACCGAAAACCGTATTCCAAAGAAAAATATTGAGAAGGACCTGGAACCTACCACGTCTTCGTATCAAGCCTGGACTGAACAACACGAGTTAATTTCTATAAAAAGATCGGCAGCGAAAGAGAATCTCTTACTGCAAGCAACGAAAATGTTACAAATCTCAAATTAATTATTATTCAAAATTAGTGATACCATACGAATACAAGTCTCTGATATCGACCGTGGTCGTACAGGTGGCCGAAATGTGTTGGCAGTTGTTCTTGGAATACACTGAAGTGACAAAAGTCATGGGATAGCAATATGCAAATATACAGATGGCAGTAGTATTGCGTAGAAAATGTATAAATGCGAAGTGCTTTGGCAGGGCTTTCATTTGTGTTCAAGTTATTCATGTGAAGAGGCTTTGACGTGATTATGGCCGCACGACGAGAATTAACAGACTTTGAACGCGGAATGGTAGTTGGAGCTAGACGCATGGGTCATTCCATTTCGGATATCGTTAGGGAATTCAACATTCCGAGATCCACAGTGTCAAGAGTGTGCCGAGAGTATCTAATTTCAGGCATAACATCCCACCATGGACATCGCAGTGGCCGACCACCTGCACTTAACGACCGAGACCAGCGACGTCTGCGTAGAGTTGTCAATTTTCACAGACAAGCAACACTGCGTCAAATAACCGCAGAAATCAATGCGGAACGTACGAGGGACGTGTCCGATAGGACAGTGCGGCGAAATTTGTCTTCCTTGGGCTATGCCAGCAGAAGACCGACTCGAGTGCCTTTACTGACAGCACGACATAGCCTGCAGCGACTCTCGTGGGCTCGTGAGCATATCGGTTGGTCCCTAACAAATGGAAAACCGTGGCTTGGTCAGATGAGTCACGATTTCAGTTGGTAAGAGCTGATGGTAGGGTTCGAGTGTGGCGCAGACCCCACGAAGCCATGGACCCAAGTTGTCAACAAGGCACTGTTCAAGCTGGTGGTGGTTCCATAATGGTCTGGGCTGTTTTTACATGGCACGGACTCGGTCCTCTGGTGCAACTGATTTCAATCACATAATTTCTTTTTGTATTATTTTCTTTTCTCATTTAGAATAATGTTCAAAAGTTTTTTTACATGTGCTGTTACTTAAGCTTTTACCGATTTTGACTTATACGGTATAAATGCAAAAGTAAAAAAAAAAAAAAAAAAAAAAAAAAAAAAAAAAAAAAAATAAATAAATAAAAAAAAATAAAAAATAAATAAATAAATAAAAATAAACAAATAAATAAATTAATAAAATTCCTTATTGACTAAATTTAAAATTAAATGCTTAACATTTATTTATCCAAGCGCGACTGAGGTCATTATTAAGAAGTCAAGTAATATCGAGTAGCCCTTCTCGCGTTAAAATCAAAAGCTACATGTCACGCAGTGGAAACGCCTCTATACAGTTACGAATAACTCTTCTCACCAGGGATCGGTTACTCCTCTCAGCAAGACAGGCGAAAACGTTACGTCACCCTTGAAGTTTTATGACACCTGAAATACGGAGTTGGCAAATATTTTGGACATGCGCCAAGCGACTATCTGAATGTTGACATTCACCGGTGAATGTTGACATTCTCCAAATCTCGGTCTTTCACAGTAACAGAGACATTAGGTATTTTTTGAAAGCAGGGGAAATGAAAAATGAGCAATGCCGTCGCCGGGACTCGAACGACGGACCTCTCGAATACGCGCCGAGTGTACTGGCCACTACACCACGAAGGCATGCTAAGAAGGCGGGAGAAATACCTTATATACTCCAACTCTTAAAGAGCGACTTTTAAAGGGGACCCAATCACCAAGTCCTGGTGGCGGAAAATCTTCATCCACCGCCGTTTTTAGTTCGGGATCCACTGTAGGGACTATTAGGTTATTTCGAAGCAGGAGACATGAAAAATGAGCAATGCTCTCGCCGGGACCCGAGCCAATGACCTCTCGAATACGGGCCGAATATTCTGGCCAGTAGATCACGAAGGCACGCTAAGAAGGCGGGAGAAATGCCTTAGTCTCTACTACTCCTTAGGCCTGAAATCATTGATGTATTATTAAAAAAGGTGAATGTGCTGCTAACTCGTTGAAATTGGAGACTGAATGTCAGTTCGTGTTTGCTTCGCCGTGATGGGTTTGTTCTCGTATTGCGCTGGCATAAAGTTTAACAGTTAGAAGAGAAATGTCCAAGGTGACCATCGTAGATATTTTGCGAGAGTTTGTCTTTGTTAGAAAAAGGAAGACATTCCCTACGTGGACGAATCTATTTTAAAATTTAGGTGAGCTAGTTCTCTAAGCGCACTGAGGAGGGAAAAAATTGCTCAAATATTTTTAGAATTTTCGGAACTTGTCGCTAAAACCCTGGGGTGAAAAATTCTGGAGAGCATAAAATAGGCGAGGAAATACAGTAAATATTGCTTGCTCTGCTATGTGGAAAGCTGCTTATCATGCGTAAAATTGTAAATTAGAATTCCGGCAACTTGAAATATGCGATTTAATCCTATTAGGAGGAGAATACACCCTTAATATTATTTCCTTTTAAGTCTCAGATATTTAAAAAACAAGACAATAGCTGCATGACATAACATTTCGTGACTCTTTACATATTTTAAATAGGCTCGGATGATGCAAAATCCTGACGTACTACAAAAGAGGAAAGCTCTTCAATCTATGTGTGACTATGTGTTCGACTCAAGACGTGTTGCTTCGAAAGAATTTTTGCGTAAATATTTTCTCTTTCAATTCAGTTCAAAATATTTTATATATGTAATAACATTGATCTCGTTGAAAAGACTATTTTCAAACCATAATGAGAAATTTTATGTGAATAAAAGGACACAGTTAAGAGGGGTAATTGTAGAAAACCTTTTATTATATTTTCGAGATAAAATTAAAGGTAATCAAGTTAAAAAAAAAAAAAAAAAAAAAAAAAAAAAAAAAAAAAAAAAAAAACATACATTTTTAACATTAAATATCGGTTAAAAGAAGGCAAACATATCTTTTAATAATTCCGCAGTTAATATAAGGAAGTAAATAAAATGTAATTTCGCAAGATAATAAGTAGGATATACAGCTTAATGATGAATATAGAAATGAAAACCCTTATTTTGAATTTCCGCTGAACGGTTTCTAAACGATTCATTCATTTGTTAAAGTTGTTAGCGTTACCATTGCTCGCTTTGAATTCGTTGAGTTTCTTAATTGAAAATTCGTTAAAGTTTTACAAAATATGAAAGAGATAATAAAAAAAATTTCCAAATTTCAAGTTCGGGCTTCCAGATCTTCGTATTCTAGGGGAGGACAACTTATTGAAAATTTGATGTCTCTAGGTACCGTTTTCCGCAGTGCGAGAAACATAGATACATTCATGCAGATTCTTCATTATTTAATTTCTTTAAATATAATGCGGGGCTCTAATATTTGGTGGCAACAATTTGAAACGTGAATCGTCATTTACAGAGAACCAACTCAAAATAGCAAAACGAAATAGATAACTCTCTTTGGGCTAATTAACCAAAAATTTTGAATCTATTTTAAAACTCCAAACAATAACAATTCTTACAATACCCAGATCAAATGCAGATATCTTCATCAATTCACATCCCAAATGTAAATAGTATATCGAATATATAAAAAAATATGAGAATACTTAACGCTCTATGAACATGAACATTGATGATCAGCTGACTTCTCCCAAATGGCACACATATTTTTTTCCTCTTCGCTTTTTCTAATATAAGTTTTTTATATTTCAAGTTCCATTTAGTTCAAGAATTATGGCTTAAAAAAACTATTTTTGTAATGATAATCATTTTATCTCTGAAACAATTTGTCTAAATTAAGCTGTAGAAAAATGACATCCTTTTCCAAGCGATGGATACGATATAATTGTCAGAATGAAGCCAGATTACGCTTTCTTAGAATTTGAGTATTTAAAGTTAAAAGATTTCTTACACAAGATAAAGAAATCTAAGTTTTTGAAACTGAGTCGTGTTAAAAGAAGAATTAATTTACTGGAGAGCTTTTGGTCACGGTCCTAAAATTTGATTGCTTTGAAAATTGTAAAAGTAATTTGCTTGTATATATTAGTTTTAATTGCCATCAAAATATTAGAGAAGTGTTTTTAGCCTTCTAATTTCTTTAGGATTAAATTTGGCAATAAATTTTAACTTTTCCTTATTTTTGATTAGATTTTGTTATTATTGTTGGTTGAACCTAAAAATCAGGAAAAATGAATTTAAAAAAGACAAATAAGTACGTTTGTAACCAGAAAAGCATTATTTACAAATTTCTCTTACTTCAATAAAAAAATTATGCAACTTCTGGCAGGTACGTAAAGACACATAAAACGCAATATATTGAGAAAGCATTATATCAATGATAAAACTGATATGAATTAGATTCCAAATACACTGGTGGACAAAATTAAGAGAGGGAACACTTTTTCCCAAGTATTTCGAGAAATACTGGATAGAAATAAATGAAATTAGGTATGGATAAAGTTTATTGTATGAATTCATTAGCATGAGCTATGGCCAAGAGTACAATGAGATCCAAACTTAAGGTTGAAAGATGGCATTGAAAATGTGGCTAATATGGTGTGTGGTCGCCTCTGACAAACAGACAACATGCACAACGAGTAGCCATGCTGTTAACAAGAGAATTCAGGAGTCCCTGTTTAAATCGCACCTATTCCTCCACGAGAGCTTTTAACTCCTAAATGGTTCTGGGTGGGCGTTGGTGTATTGCATTTAGCCTTCCCAAGGGCATCCCAAGCATGTTCAATAAGATTAAGATCACGATATTTGGCTGGCCAATTCATTCAGTGGATGTCCTCGTTTTCCAGATAGGCATTAACCAGATGGGCTCTATGTGGTTGTGCATTGTCGTCCATAAAAATGAGCTCGGGGCCAACAGCACCCTTGAAATTTGCACATGATCAAACAAGATTTCCTTCCTCTACCTTTGGGCATTCACGAAACCAAACAGTGTCAAACATATGAAGAGGTGTGGTGTGCAGGTATTTTGCATAATCTCTGCCAGGACCATCACTCCTTCACCTCCATATTGGTCCCCTTCCATGATTTTGCTGGGATGGTGCCAAATTGCAGTTTCCTCCATGTCAATAATCACCGAGGATCAGGTTATAGACTGAATCTGTATTCTTCCATGAAGAGAATATTAACACACTGAAACTGTATGCACCATCGTAAGCGTTCTCTTTTGTGGGAGTCAGTGAGTGAGATGCAAATAGCCGGCTTTCTAGCATAAAGTCCTATGTAATGGAGCTTTATGGAAATTGTCTTCCTTGAAACTGATGTTCCTGTAGCAGTAGCGAAGTCACAAGACAGTTGCGTGGCTGTAGACATCCTATGGTGTTTGGCTGAATGTACCAAATACCGGTTTTCATTTGTCATTGTGCTCTCGAGAGACCGTGTCCTGGACATCTGTACATTTACCCACTGTTTTTAAAGTGATTCCAGAGAGATGACACTCGGCGTTACAACAAGTTCTCTTGCAACCTGAGCTTCGGAATGCCCTGCCTCAAGCCTACCCAAGATTCTTCATCTCATACTTTTGTCTAAGCAATAATGTGTACTCATTTCACCTAAAACAGCAAAAACGACAAGATTTTTCAAGAAAGACATTAAAAACCACTACTGTATTGCAGAGCGGAATGAGCAGAACAGCTGGAAGCGGACTTTTATACCTGCTGCTGGTGTAGCGACGACTCCATGAATGCGTAAACTCATCTCACGGACACTAGCTCTACGGTGACATTATATGGGAACAGGTCTGTCTGCTATTTTAGGAGAAAAAGTGGGAAAATACACTCTATAACAAAATAATCGACGGACTAAGAAGGAATCATCCGATTGCTTTAAATTTCGTATGCATAAGTGTTTCGAGCAAAATATGCAAATGATTAAAATTTATTGTCCAATGAATGAATGGTTCGATCTCTAGCGCATCGGAACTGCGCATCGAACAGATGTATATAAGGAGCTATTCTTTAACTGTTGTTAAAAATTTCTGTTGCTTCTATTGCATTGCAATTTAGGATACCTTTCAGCGACTGAAAAAAAGTGCTTCGCCGCAGGATTCGAACTTATTACGAGCAACTGTGAGAGTTCGAAAGAGGTCGTATCATTAGATTGAAAGGGGCAGGTTGGGCAAATAGGAGAATTGCTCGTCATATGAGTCGAAGCGATGAGACGATTAGAAAATGCTCTCAAGAATGGGAGGACAATGGCAGATTTCAGCGTCATGATAGTAGCGGTCGATCTAGGGCCACAACAGGTCGGGAAGACAGAGTGATTGTCAGATCAGCTGTCACAGTGCCTGATTCATCGCTATGAACAATCAGATGTGCGACCCGCACACGAGTGTCCCCCATGACCATTCACAGACGGCTGATAGAGCGAAATCTACGCTCGTACCGACCGTTACGCCACCTGCCACTCACGCCAGCACTCTATCGAGCAGCCAGATTACAGTGGTGCTTGGCTCTATCAGGTTGGAATGATGTTGCCTGGTAACGTATAGTCTTTAGCAGCGAATCTAGCTTCCAACTGTGTCATGACGATTATAGAATACGTGTCTGGAGACGCCCAGAGTCCTATCCTGCTTTCACTACTTCAATCCACACAGGCCCCAACCAGGAATTGTGGTCTGGTGTGCCATTTTCCTTGATAGCCGGATCCCTTTGGTGATCCTTAAAGGTATACTTACAGTACAGCGGTACGTGGACGACATTCTGAGACCTGTTTTGCTACCATTCCTTTTGCAGTACCCTGGCCTTATTTTTCAGCAAATTAATGCCAGACCATATACGGTGCGTGTTGCTATGAACTGTTTTACAGCTTGCGAAACACTTCCTTGGTCAGATCTTTCTCCCATCGAGCATGTCTGGGATATGATGGGAAGGCGACTTCATCTACCAGGGAATCTTGATAACCTAGCCCGACAATTGGAGTAAATTTGGCAAGAAATACCGAAGGAGACCATCCAGGAGCTTTATCAGTCTATGCCACGCCGTGTGGCAGCTTGCACCCAGGCTAGAGGTGAGTCAACACCTTATTGATCTCGTTACTTTGTAACTATGTAACTGTGAAATAAATCATTTCCAATAGTTCTGAAATTTTAATCATTTTCTATTCTGTACATAAACTTCCTATCCACCAAATTTTGTCTCCATCGGAAAATTCCTTCTTGGTGAGTAGACTTTTTTGTTATAGTGTATTTTCCATCTCTTAATTTTGTCCACCATTCTTAAACAAAAATTTATTCTACCAGATACTTCATACAAGGAACCTGCGTTCCAATAAGAATACATATTAATATTAACATTCCAATATGCTATACACAGGCCTTGTATGTCCATGTAATATTTATATTTATATTTTTACACAGAGGAAATATTCCCTTCTGCTAGGATGACTATTAACATTGTAAGACTTTTACAACTTTTACAAGTCAGGTCAGTGGTTATCTCAGGCGGCGCTCAGTATCAGACGGATATCGTATTGTAATTGAGCCCGTGTCTGGCTCAGTTACCTTATAAAAAAACCTCAGGCTCACCTCACAGGAATAAGGTCTTGACCGCAGATTCCAAGAGGACACGAGTGGAACGAAGGAGAAGGGGGGCGAACAAAAGACCCGGATTTCGAAAGAGAAGAATACAGCACTAGGTGAGATTACAATGAACATAAACAAATAGGAGTAAGGTAAAATCACATGTTTAAAAAGTTTCTTAAGTGTGAGAACACCTGCCACGTCCTGGTAGAGAAAACTGGTCCTGGTATCTGCACAAAATATGTTTCAAATCATGAATTAAATGGAAAATAAAAAGGATGAAATGATATTACAAAACTGCAAATTTCGAAAGAGAAGAATACAGCACTAGGTGAGATTACAATGAACATAAACAAATAGGAGTAAGGTAAAATCACATGTTTAAAAAGTTTCTTAAGTGTGAGAACACCTGCCACGTCCTGGTAGAAAAAACTGGTCCTGGTATCTGCACAAAATATGTTTCAAATCATGAATTAAAAGGAAAATAAAAAGGATGAAATGATATTACAAAACTGCAAATACAAATTAAATATACAGATAAAAATTAAAATAATCGTGGGAATACAGTTAATTACTGAGTGTAAAGCCACTTAAAATAGCAAAATGAATAAAATTATGCGAATAATTTTAAAATTTTCAAAATCAGCGCTGAAAAACCTAGGGAGGAAAATTACGTGAGGCTGCAGCAATTATATTTCAATATACGTTTCGGGAAAAAGGTTCATCTCAGAGCTCATGTACTCCCATAAACAGAAATGATTTGGTGTCATAACTTAATATTTTCATGCGTTCATTCCTTTCGGTCGTTATGATTTCATTGTCATGTAATGTTTATGTTTACAGCAATTTAAAATTCAGTCACTTTCCGTAGGTATGTATGAATATGTAATTGAATATGAATTGAATATGAATGTCAAGAAGCAAGATTAAAAACAGAGAAAAGAGATTCCGTAACATTTAATTTTCCCCCTAAATGATTAGTTGCGGTACTTTTTGTTTCCTTTGTAGAAAGGTTATTAAGTGAAATTCTGAGAGTGATTGCATAGTATCTTTAGTAGTTAAATACCCACAAATTTTTTCATAGTTTGAAACAGTTTCATAGTTTGATTAAGAATTCATATTGTAATTTTCTGTCTTATGATATTTTTCATGAAACAAGGTACGAATCTAATTTACAGGTATAGTACCCGTTTTGAAGAGCTTGGCAGACGATACAGATGCTAGTGTAAGAAACAAACTTGCGGAATGTTTCGCAGCTATTGCTGGTAAGTGACGCTGGAAAGTTCAGCGTTAGCTTAGTACAGAGATTATCACCCTTTTTCTTGCATCGACCACTTTTAAAAAAAGGTAAACTGCACACCCCATCAGTTCCTTGTACGGCCTGTTAAATTATACATATTTTTTGCTGGGCTTCATTTAAACTTATTTCTTCGAATTTCATTAGAGATATATTTCTCATTCAATCAATTCAGTTCTTCCATCGCGACAAGACAAAAATACATAAAAACTCAAAACATCTTCATTAGAAATAGGAAAATACAGAAAAATCTAAAATACCAAATAGTTAAAGCAGTTATAAAAAAATTCTTTTTTGCAATTAAAATTACAATTTTAACGCAAAAATAAGCAATTCGGCCAACGGGCTGAAAGATAAAATTTTCACCTCACAAATATTAAAAGTTTTGGTCCCATTGGGCAAAAAGACATTGAATTTAGTGCGTCAACTGACTTAATTCGCTTTAGTACGAAGAGTTTCAATTGTAAATTGACTTTTAAATTGTTGATAATTCTACAACTAGTGCATTCAGATTAACTGAAGGCATAAAATCCTTAACTGAAGTATATGAAGCACATACTTCAATCAATTTTAAAGCAAAAAAATGCACAATTTACCAACACATAAAAATAAAAGCACAGAGCTTAACGAGCCACGTAAGAGGGTGGACGTATATATATATATATATATGTGTTTGTAATGAAAGCAGACATTAGCTGTAATGAAACAAACTTAGAAGTAAAGATATCTTAGAACGTAGAATGTTGAATCCATAATAAACAGGAAGAATTTTGATTACGTAGAAGAATGAACAGGAAATATTTTGATTGTGTAGAATGTTGATTTATATTGAAAACCAAACTTGGCAGTCGAGGTAGATTAAACATTCATTATTATTTCATTAGCATATGTGGCTACAATTCACTTGTCCCTCTAGTCGTGCCTGTTCAAGAGCATTTACATTTCTGATGCTATTGAGATAGATAGGAAAGAAGCAAGCCAGTGCCTTAACGGCAAGACAACCAGAAGCAAAAGTGCGCAGTCATCCAACATGGAAGTTCGCCAACGAAAAGGTTTCAGTTCTCAAAGTTTTGAGTTCAAATTCCGAATTAGCTACTTTATAAGCGCTACTCATATCATATGATATGGATTGATCAACAGTACCCACAAAGGACCCCCCCCCCCCGTTTTTTAAATTAAATAACTCAAAACAAAGATCTTTAGAAGACTGAAACAAAAGGTATGTTTATTGGAACAGCTGTAAATATCTGATACAGAAGGTTTACATTTAACTACAAAAGTTGCCAATAAGCAGTGCTATAGTCCCAGCACACTCTAGAGAAAGGAACAATCGTGCCCTCTGTAAGCCGTTGTTGCAATCACATCATAATCTTTTCAAAATGTTAACCTTTTGCAGTATAGAGGTAGCGCAAACGAAAACGAAATTTCCACGCCACACTTTTGCAGTGTGTCAACAGAAATGGATGCACATGCTTAACAGATCGACTCTTCAAGCTCATCGAATGTTGCAGGCTTCTTCTGGAAGAAATAGCCCCACAAAAAGTAGTCACAAGGGGTAAGATCGCGTGAATATGGAGGCCAATCCAAGCCTGTAAATGTCAAATATTCCAAAGCAATAACTCTATCTCCGAAGTATTGCTCAAGGAAGTGAGACACCTGTTCGGTGCGGTGTGGTCGGGCCCCATCTTGCATGAAACACGAAGTGCCTGGTTGATCCTGCAACGCTAACAGTGTGGCGACAAATTGCTCCAACATTTCAGCATAACGGTCAGAAGTGATTGTTTCTCGCAAGCAGAAGCGGCCAATAACCTTTGCTGGATACTGCAGCCCAAACAGTAACTTTTGGGGAATATAATTCACAAAAATAGGGGTTTTTAGTACCCCAAAATCGCCAATTTTGTTTATTCACGACAGCATTCAGGTGAAAATGTACTTCATCTGTTAACCATATGCGACATTAAATCTGTCATCATCAATGATTGTGAGCATTTGTGAGAAACAAAATACATAAATTTAAAGGAAAAATATTATTGTTTTTAAAAATTTATTTAAAAAATTTATTGTATTTTTCTCCTTATGAGGTATTTTTCCCACTTCCCTAGCGTCCTTTGTGGAGTAGTGGTTCTGCACGCTGGGCCGTGTTCCAGAGGTCCGTGGTTCGATTCCCGGCGAAGGCGGTTGCATATTTTTCATCTTTTCTGCTTCCAATTAACCTAATGACTCTACAAGTGGGGCTCGAACTAAAAGGGTTGTGGATGATGATTCTCCGGATTTGGCGACTAGGTCCCCTAAAACCCTAGTCGCCCTTTAAAAAAAAAGGGGACTATATAAGGTATTTCTCCCACTTCCCTAGCGTACTTCGTGGTGTAGTGGTTCTGCTCGCTGGGCAGGTATTCCAGAGGTCCTTGGTTAGATTCTCGGAGGAGGCAGTTGCATATTTTTCATCTTTTCTGCTTCCAATTAACCTAATGACTCTACATCCTTATGTTAATTTTATATGGTGTCTCTCTTATTACAAGTGTTATGGAAAATTCTTATGTATTTTTTTTTTTGTTCTGTATAATTTTTGCGTATTATTTTACTGTGAATTTGTATTGTGCTTATTTTAAAATTAATGTATAATATTTAATATTGTTATACTTTACGGCAAAGCTCCTTTAAGTTTGGCAGAATATGTGTTACAGTTAAAAGGGCGCGGTTGTATTTCCATTTCTCACGCGTAGGCTTCTTTGGAGGTTAGAGGTCACTGTCCAGCTGCATTTTTCCCCTTTTTCGCGGGGGTTGAAAACACGTGTTTTTCTCGTTCAGAGGCGAATAGTTCTAAGGGGCAGCGATTTTTTTTGACAGAGTTATAGGTTGGAAACATTCTTCTGTTGCGTGGGAAAGAAAGGGTCTGTCTTCTTGTAGAAAGTTCTGAATTTCTGAGAATTTCAGTGGCGATTTATTACCCTTCTTCTAGTTGGCGAAAGGGAGTCCAAGTTTCCTTAAGATTGGCTAAATTTTTAATTTTAGTGTTTGTTTGAACCAATAGTAATTTTGAGGCGTTTCTTGGAGAGTTAAACCGAGGTTTCTTAAGCCGTTGCACGGAAGGCAGGAGATCTTTTGGACTTGAAAAAAAAAAAAAGCGATTTTTAGAGAAGACTTTTAAGAGGGTTTTTGGAGCCTTAGGGGTTTGGTACTTTGACGGCGGCCCCTACGGGGCCGGCCGCGGTCAGTGAGGTGCGGAGATGAAAAACGCGGCGATTCTTCGGTGGTCGACCGCGGTATACAGTTAAGTTTTTATCTCCGAGATTTCTGGGTACGGAGGGTCCGAGACAGTGTGGGTGCTCGTTTTGACGCCGGCAATTCTTGCGGCCTATTATTTTCAATTTCGTCGCCGAGATTTCTTTTTTCCCATTTGTGGAACAGTCTGAACTGCTCGTTCGTGCTGGAGTATGTATTTTGCTTTAGAAAAGATGGAAATATGGAAAGTCGTCATCGCCTGAGGTCTGCTTTGGTCTTTTGTCTCCAGTTTCGACCTCTTTCTCTTATCTTCAGTGGAACTTCGAAAACGGAAGATGATTGAGTGAAAGTGCTGCTTAACGGAGGAATTTGAAAACTTTAAACTGGAACTATGAAAAGGCTCCGGTTCCGGAAAACAACGATGAAGATTTGGCAGTTATTGTTTCGGGATTTGTAATTTTGATCGGGGCAGCTCCCTGAGTCTCTCAAAGGTGGTACGCCCCGATTTTCGTGAGTGACTTTTTAATTTTCATTGGTGTTTTATTTTGATGCATAATCCTTTTAAATTAAATTTGGAAATGTTTAATACTAAAGCAAGAGTTGATATGTTAAGTAGATAAAAATTGAATATTTTTACCAAATTTCTAGCTGAGATAGTAATTTTTTATTTAATGTTTAATAGTCAGAAGTCAATTGAACTAATTGGAGGAAGTAAATCTTTGTTTTAATGTTTAAGTGCTATGTTCAATATGATTTATTCTAAATTAGTCTTTTTAAATAAATTTAATCTTCTGGGTTTCCTGCTTAAAATGATTAAGAACTGTGACGTGTTTCACCATGATTTTTGTATTAATGGAATAATGTTAAATATGAGATTGATATGAAAAAAAAAACTATGAGTAACTTTAAAAGATTTTGTAGGGGTAGTCTGGCCAGCTATCTTAGGTTATAATGTGTGGGAATTTTCAATAAATGTGTTTATTATCTTTAATATTGTATGTTTTTTTGTGTGTATTAATTGTGGTCTACTGTAGGTCACCCATGTGATCCTTTCGGAAACATGGTTTATCAACCGAACGTGGGTAATTATATTGCGGTAGTAGAAAAATAAGTTTTAGTGTTGGTGACTATACGATCGGTTTGCTGAATTTATTTTGATTTAAAGAGTAGACTTCTTAATTGGGAGATTGTATCTTTCCCCGGTGTTTTGAAGAGTTCTGTGTGCTATTTGAAATGTTCAAGGCTTAAGCTTATCTCTAGATTTAAAATTGAAATTTATGTGTTTTCAGGTTGGAGATATAAATTAGTTTTCATTTAGTGAGAGATAGCCTGTTAAAGATTTTGTTCTGGATGTGCATAATTAATCGTGATTCTACCAAAACACCAGGAAGGATATCTTTCTTTGATGTCTTTTAGATTTAAAAGTTTTGTTTATGTATGTACAAAGTTAGAGTAGTAGTTAGTTTTAGTTTGTTTTTTTTTCTGTCGCCGCACTAAGCAGTCAGCTTTAAAGAGATAAAAACTAAATGAAAATTATTATTTTTTTTTTCTACTTAACACAAGATATAACTTTATATCAGCAAACAATTAATTATTAATGTTACTAAATTCATAATTTTATTGCAACCAGTGGGATCTTCATAGTACTGAACAATTACTCGTGCATATTTGGAATAGATCGTGCATATAGAATTTCCGATGCACAGTCTCGTGCGCTGGAGATAAAAATGTTTTTTTTTCTCGTAC